TCTTCTTCTTCTATTGAGTTGGAGGTTGGCATCCAACGTTCAGGTGCAGTACCGCCACCTACCAGACTGGAGGTACCGTAAGTTGGGCGAGATCTTGCAAAAGACAGCTCTGTTTTTCTTTTTTTGCTCTCCCTGTTTGTTTTTTTTCTTTCTACGTGTCCCTTCCGGGGCTCCGTAGTTTAGCCTGTGACAAGGTGGGAGGTGCTACCAGTGAAAAAGTTGGTCTGGAGTCCTGTGAAATGCAGAAAATTGAATATATATTAGAACAGTGTTATGTGATGGTCCTCAGATGAATGCATGAAACAAACCTGCTCTTATTTCCATCGTGCTCATCACCGTCTCAGCTTTGATTCCTTTGAGGACGTCACCGTTTGACCTGCTCTGGTGCTTTAATGGACTCTTTTGCAGAGCTGCTTTGGATTTCATTACATTAGAGCTAAAACCCAGAGAGACGGTGGGAACGTAGGAAATACGCCTGCGTAGTCACTTTTATAATGCAAAAGACAGGCTCACTGCTTATGTGTTGTTTTTTGTGCTTTAGCCAATCAGTGTCCCTCCTTTAACGAACAGACCTGAACCTGTGCTGCTCCATAGACGATCGACTCAGACCTGTAAAGTTTGTGTGACTGTCAGAGCATCTGCAGACTTTATTTTTTCTGCTTTTGTTCTCTTGAATATTCATTTAAACCTGAGCCGAGGCCGTCTGTTCTGTGGGAATCCTCCTCGCCGGTTCTCCCCTGGGCTGACAGCTCTCTGCTGCGCTCCTTCCTCCATGTTTGTCTTTCTGTTGTTGTTTCTCTGCTGGGTTTCTTCTTCTCCACCGTCTCTCTCTTTATCTTCCCGCTCAGTTCCCTCGATTCTCTGTTTGCTTCCTCCTGCTCCCGCCGAAAGAGCCGTTCGTCCCTCGTAAGCCTCTTTATATGTCGGGCTTTGCATCGTGTAGGCATGTGAGCGTGCATGCATGTTAGTTTCATTGGCAAAGTCCAGCGAATTCTTTGTGAAACGTGTCAGTAGCCGTGTGACAGATTTGCTCTTATTTGGTTCTGGTTTGGGTTCATTCTCATGCCCTGTTCTGCGAGTCGCTGCTCTACAGGGACTCCAAACTAACTCCGTGTTCTCTTCCTCCCATCTTTCTGCTGTTTTTACCGCTCGCTCTCCTCCCTCCAGTCCTTCTCCTGCTCTCATTCAGCCTGCCGTCCTTGTTTTAAACTCTTATTAAACCAGGTGAGGTCTAACGGTCTGATACTGAATCAATAGGGCTCAATGTAAAGTCAGTAGATCATCAAAGTTTCTGGAGACTTTCTTGAAGTTTCATTCCACAAAGATTGACCTGCTGGTGGCCCTGGAGGAGAAATCAGGGGTTTGCTAATTCCAGTGGGGGGAGTTGTCAATCTGAAATTGTAAAATCGTAAATACATTTTAAACTAAATCTGTGTTTTCCAGAAAGTCCGTGTAGTTTAATTTAAGCACATAAAATCCAGGAACGAACGCTTCCGTCAGCCCTTTGTCCAAATCCCAACTCCAGATGTCCCCATAATGTCTGAAAACGCTCTGAACTGTGACTGAATTTTTGCACAAGAAAATTAACCTTAACTGAGTTTTGAAGCAGACCTTCTCGTGAGGCCGGAGCCTCGTCGTTGATCAGATCATCAGATTTGTTCTGCAGCTTTGTGTTAATATGTCGAAGCACAAACAACCAAACACAAAATGAACTTGTTTGCAGGTTCATCAAAATGCTGCATTTAGAACCAAATGAGGAAATGAAGGTGGACGAACCGAAATCCTCACGTTCCTGCGATGGAAACGTGACGCCCAGAAGACGGATCAATGCATAGTCGTGTTAAACCATCAATGACAGATGAAAGAGGCTGATTTGAATCTTGTGCTCATCTCAGGTCATCAAACATGTTTTTTTCTTCATCTTGCTGTAAAACCAAATCGAAACGATGCAGCTGCACAAATTTGCACTTCTTCAGCAGCCATTTGAACTATTTTTTCTATTAAAAATAAGAAATCAGAGACGAACTAACACACATTTTTATTCCATCAGCTGAGCAGATCTTCAGGAGACAAACTTGTGGTTGTTTTCTTTCATTGCCACGTCTTCAATCTGCTCCCGTCTTTGTAGAATCTACATCGCTGCTGTTTAAATGTGCACCATGTCGGAGGAGCCATGTGGAGAGTGTTGACTGATCACCAGTCATGTTTGCACAGCCTGATCTCAGCCACAGATGCATTTTAACCAGCGTCTCAGTAACGGCACAAAATTGCAGGAAAATCTCTGCGAGTCTTTTGTGCATACGAGCCAGGACTGTTTTCTCTCTTCGTATTTGTGTCACCTTCACGAGTGCATTATGTAATCCCACGCTGAGGTCATACATGTGCAAACACACTCGGCCTCAGCTGGAGGTGGCGAGTGTGTGCTGGGAGGGGCTGAGTGCTTTGGAAATAAACTTTAATTTCCTGCAGTCATGGGAATTTGACCCCTGCATCCCTACAACACACACTCACGCTGTCTTCTTCTTCTTCCTCCTGCTATTTTCATTATTTGTCAGATCTTCCGTGCGATTAAGGGAGAAAAAGGAAAGAATTTCTGTAATTTATAGCGTCGTAAATATTGCGGACAGCACAATGCGCGACGCGGGTTTCGGCTCGCCTGGTTCCTTAATAGGGAAAAGACCCGGCCTCGAATTAGTGATTTCTAAACAGCGGCTTTCCAAACCCAAACAACGGCTGCTTCCACATGGTCAGACAGGGAGGATGTGGAGCTCGTAAAAAGACGACGACCGACTCGAAACCAAACACACACGCTGGAAAAACAGTCACACAGAAGCACTGCTGCAGCGAACTGAAAGCACCAAGACCTGCTACTACGACTACCAAATGCTAACATTTAAACACAGTGCAGCGTCCAGAGCTGCTTTTTAAACCACGTCTTGTGTCGCTTTACATTTGTCTAGTGCTAAATTAAATTAATACGTATTGTAGAATCATTTTGGCAACAACACGAAAACCCCTTGAGGAATTTCTGTTTTTAATCAAACAGTTTCTGTCCTGCACCTCAAGGGAAACACCACAGCCTTGAATCGACTTGTGCAACATTCATAACGTGTCCACAGGTGTGAGCAGGACGAGGAAAACAATCCGTCTCTTCACACTGTAGATATCAAACTATCTCCATGTTCCAGCCTCTCCCTCTCTGCTCATCAG